TGATTTTACGGAAGGAGTTCCTAATAAAGACAAAGCATTTCCAATGCTAACAAATACACAGCATGGGATTCTTCGAATGCAGACCAGCTTTTTTGTGTGGGTAACGGTGTACCATTTCGTTTTTTCGAAAAATTTGTTCGTGAACCGAGTTGATAGGGAAGAAAGGCGTTCGCAACCCGAGGTTCTACTGCATTTTCAAATGTCTTACAACGCTCATGAGATATGGGGAGAATTACTTCGATGTTCAGTAACGTGTGTCTAAGATCAACGTTTGGATTACCAACTACTGAAGGCCTACTGGAATGTTCTTGGATTTCTGAATCAATATTTATAATGTTGAAACTAGTGTACTAATGACGAAGAATTACTCTCAGCAAGACACCATCTCCATAAATGACACATATCACCATCTCCATAAATGACACATATCACCCTCTCCATGAATGACACATATCATTCTCGTTATTTGTTGTGTATTTTCCTTTAGTGGAATAAATGATGTTCAGATGTGAAAAATTAATTTCGTTTTCCTCCATTTTTACTTTTAACGTAAAAGTCTTTTAAATTTCCAATTCGCACATGAGTCGTAAAGAAAGACGCGTTATAATATCAGCTATCAGAATATATATATATATACATATATATATATATATATACATATATGGGTGGGTGTGTGTGTGTGTATACACACACACACACACACACACACATATATATATATATATATATATATATATATATATATATATATATGGATGTTGGTGTGTGTATTTAAATATGTGTTTCAAAAGAGGGAGATGCTAACAAAGTGATATATATATATATATATATATATATATATATATATATATATATATATATATATAATGAACATTGAAGTCAACACTCAGAGACGACAGACTGTTTCATGGTAGAAGCAATCGTCAGGCCATTGCGTCTACCATGAAAACTGTCGGTCGCCTCTGACTTCAATGTTCACTTTTTATATTTACATACGCTCCATCTCTGATACTGAGCACTTTATGTCAGAAATATAGCACGGCTTAAAAACTATATTTCTTCATATATATATATATATATATATATATATATATATATATATATATATATATATAAAAGAACTCGACTGAGACAAGTAGATAGACAATGGTCTGTTACTGTCGTTTTCGGAGCCTACCATTTTTGCTTGGATAAGGAGCCAGTCCCTGTCGCAGAGCTTACCTATAGTTTATTCTGCAACTATGCTGAACAATTTTAGAGTGAGTGCTGTCATCATCAGCAATTAAAAAACGCCAGTGTGTGCAGACCCTTGGTTACGATGACATGTGACTTGAAGCAAGAAAAACCCTTGACGGCACCCGAAGAGTTCTACCTAACCAATTTCATTCACAAGGATTGTGTCAACCCATAGTATGGTTTTACAGTCATTTTTCAAATACCGCCTCCCCAGGCCGATAAGATGAAGAAATCACTTTCTTGACAAATCGACTATGGTGAGATTAGAACCCAAGTCCCAAAGCGAACATTCTAACCACTTGGTCACTTGCTAGACACGGACAGTACGACATTGATAATCTCTTTTTATTTGAGTGATTGATTAATAATGTACATTCTTATATAGCCACATCGCTGTTAGATTGGTTTTGTTTAGTGGCATATCAACTTCTAGTGATTATTTAATGGTGAAATCTAAATATTTTGTACACAGTTTTATTTGTTGTTTTGTTGGGGTGGGTGGGGACAGATAATAATGCTTACTAATTAACCTTGGGGTGAGGAGATGGAGTTATACTCTACGCAAGAGTATTTGAGCGTGTGTATATACAAACCCGACGGGAATTGGAACTCGACTCTCCTATTAACAATTCTGAGGCATTACCTAATACATCACCGCAGATCCAAGCTTACAGCATCTGGTATAACGAAGCGGTTACCCATTTAGGTACTGACCAGGATCGATGTTGCTTAACCTCGGTGTTACTGCGGAAAACGGTGTTTCAACGTGATGCTTCAGTACCTTTCAATCTTGGGCAATGTGTAATAATACATTTATGAATTTATATATTTATATATGCCACTAATATTGTCAATATCTTTATTTATTTATTTATCTATCTATCTATCTATCTATCTATCTATCAATGCTATATAGATATAAATATATACAGCTATATAACTATTTAAATATAAACATATATAAATACAATTTTATATATATATATATATATATATATATATATATATATATATATATATATATATATATATATATATATATATATATATATATAACTATTTAAATATAAACATATAAAAAAACAATTTTTTATATATATATATATATATATATATATATATATATATATATATATATATATATATATATATATATATATATATATATAAAAACAATTATGTAAAGATAGAGCTTTATCAAAATGCTTGCCCACGATTTCTGGTCATTACTTATGCATGCACATCCAATATCCAACTGTGATCT